CAGTTTGGAACTACGGTATGCAGCTATGGGTCACACCCTCAATATCCAAAAATGGTAAATGCTCCATGGTATGCAACTAATATTCAAAACCATCGTGACGTCATCATAGTTCCGATTAAAAACACTGTAAAAAGAGGTAGCCAGAAAAGAATTTAAACGAATATAAATTTATTCTAAAAATTTTACAGTGAAAAACTCTAAAAGAAATGGTAAATATTACTTGGTACATAACTAAGATCCAAATCCATCCTGATCTTATCATGATTTCGATGAAAGATGAAGTAAAACAGGTATCCAGAATATAATCTGAACAAATACTATACTGACTCATTCCAAAAATCTTGCTTCGAATTAATGTCACCCTTAAAAATTTTTACAAGGCCATGCCAGTCAAAGGAATAATTTTATCTGATTTTCTAGTTAATATTTTTGGACAACAAACTGCCAAAAAGTAATTCCACATTGCAACCTCAAATTTATAGTTCCAAAGCCTGTTGCTTCATACAAAATCCAACCAAACAATTTAGCAATTTTTTTCGAAAAATGGCAGTCTAAAAATAGAGAAATACTGCAGGCATAAGGTTGTCATACAAATTCGACGATGTTACAACCTCAAAACATATAGTGATCTCATAAAGTAATGAGATTAACAGCTGTTACATCCATCGTTTCATATAAATAGTTATTCCCATGTTTTACGAAATTATTACGCAGGTCAACGCCAGGTGCCGCTACCTAAAATTTATTACATATATATATATTTATGTATTTAATATTGGCTTGAATAAATTTTATCATAATCTGAATAAAAGTAAAGTGAATTTATAACGATAATTATTTCTACTTATGATAAGATTATATTGATTACACGGTACGCCTTCATTCAAAAACTGACAAAGGCACTGTATGGAGGGCGCTCCAGACTTTTTATCGCAACAAAATCGTATTTATGATTACGAGTATTAAATTTTTATTTTATTAAAATTAATTTTAAGCAAGAAAAAAGTACTTCCGATGTTACTACATTGAATAATTAGTTTGAGGAAAGTTAAATTTATTTATGACATACTCATATCTTTGATTATAAACATTAAATCATGTCGAATTTTAAGTTTGCTGTTGACACATAAATGATTTAGTGCCATTATGCAATTAACTTATGTTTATTGAGAAGAGTAATTAATTTCCCATATAATTAGAAAAAGTTTTTTATGATATGATATAAAAAATACACACATTGGGTGATTAAAGTTATAGTAAAATGTGTGAAATAATGCAATAAAGCGTTGTGCAAAAGATCAGTAAGTATACCACAAAACCTATTCTGTCTTAATATCAATGTCTATTATTATCTTGGTTAACCGTGCTCCTTCTAATTAAAGCTCTAGGTTTTATAGATTCTATACAGAAATTATCGTGAAACAGAAAACGGTCTCAATGAAATCATAATATACGATATGTTTGGAGAGCCACATACTAAGATCACATACAAGCCAGTAGTTAATTAAGATCAGTAGCCAGTAGTAAATTAAATAAATGATCAAAGGCAACTTACTATATCAGGTAATGGTCTTGATAAAATTAGGGTATATGATTTAAAGACCTTCATGCATATATGGGCTTGTCAAGTTTTATGAGAAAATTACTGATCATAGACCGATAATCTCTGACTCCCTAAAAGTATTAATCAACATTTCTATAAGTACAAAGATCGTATAATAGATAACAGAAAAAATGTAAAGCTTAACATTCTAGAAGCCAACAGGTCTTTTATACCCACTAAAAAAGTTTACAATCTTTAAGCCTATTTCTAACATCTGACGTTTCCTAAATTTCTCATGATGTCTAGGCATGGTTTCATATACCAAAGGAAATCTGTCTACATGGGGTAATCGAGTAAACTTCAAAAATCTCCCTGCATAAACTCCAGCTGGCACAACGGATATGGAGGTGCTAAATTCATACCGAAATATCAACACGATGAACGAAACGTTTAGATGTCCTATGCTCCATGAGTAGATGAGGACAACAGTAAGAATTGAAATTAATTAATAAATATTTCTACTAACAGTGAATAAAGTACTTTCTACTACAGGGGATTCCATGGCTTTTAAAAAATTACTTAACAATATTTTTTTTTTTTAAAATTGTCATAAAAATCAAAGCAAAATTTGATAAATTAGTAATATTTTGCGATCAAATTGTGGATAAGCAGCGACTGAAGTACTGATACTCGTTGCTTTGTGTTTAGTGATTACGCGTTTCTAAGAATAACGCCCGATAACACATTTAAGTAAGCAAACAAACTTATTTCTAATTTCATGTAAGTATCCACCCTAGTTTTTATAAATAAATAAATTAAAAGATATCGCTTTTATATCTATTAATATTAAATTGTTTACTATTTGCGTTTCGCCACACCTGAAATGTTGATCTAAATACCATTTAAATTGAATCTTTACATTCAACCGATTGCATTAGGAAAAATTATACTTTCTTTCTTTTACTTTTCCTTTCTCTAAATCATCCTACATATGGATCATATATAATCCAATCCAAAAATTCTGAATACAAGCACTATAATAATGCTTCTCTTGGAAGATGTGAAAACTTAGAGAAAACATATCCTATAAACTCCAACATTTTATCAGTAAGTGTCTGCGCATCATTTACAATTTTTTCTAGGCAATTTCTTCTCGAACAACGATTTCTTCACAATGAACATATGTGAAACTATAGACAAATAAAATACTTTTAATGAACTATTCGTTGTTTGTGTCGCAAGAGATTGAAATATCGAACAAATATTCTATAAATAGCTGCTCTTGAACTTCATGATTGCAATCTGTTAACGCAAAATATCGACTAGTTTGATTCGGCGGATACATTCTTTAATAGATCTGTGTAAAGATTTTATAAAGAATAACAAATATTCTATATATAACTTTTAAGATATTGTAAACCTAGCTCCTCTTGCACTTCTTGATTGCGATCGGTACATCCAAACGTCGGCAATTTGATTCGCTAGACACATTTGTTAAATGGATAAAGGATTTGAATAAAGAGCAATAATACTAACAAAGTATATAATAACAATAGATCAACAATAGAAAGCAACAGATTTTTTACTTTCCACATTAACTGGAACAATATTCGAAGTAGGATATTAGGATATGATGATTCAGTTTTTATAAAAAAATTGTTCACACAATAAAATTATTTCCATGAGTTTTAAATGCTAATCTTAAGAAACATAAGTATCTTGTACTATATTAAGTACGATTGATTTGGTGAAGAGGACGCGTGCTAAAACAACTGTCAGCAGTTCCAGTCGATGACATCATTGCCTATTGTAATGTACCTAAAACTGCCTGGGAGAACTGCGTTATACTAGACAATACCATCTCCAACTATTATCTCTCTTTGGTTATTTAGTCTTCCAGATAAAGCTAAGGAAATCCAAAAAATCCACCTTCGTCATCTCAACCAGTTCAGTGCAGAAACAGTTATCAAACGATTTTAACATTAAAATCGCTTCATCTGTAGTCCCATAGATAAAGAAAATGATTGCTGAATTCTATATACATACATAACAATAAGTAAGCCACAGCAGTGATATACTATATATATTGCAGAAACATTATTGAGGATATATATCTCGTATTCTTCGAATGTAGAGAATGCAACGCAATGATACATAGTCTGAGTGCTGTACTAGGAAGGAACCCAATGACTTAAAATCGTGTAGCGCAGTATCATATATGGCCACTACAATGATGAGGAGGCGAAAACAACTTAAAAGATATTGATCGAACTAGTGAGTATTTAAAACCAAACTCTTTTATGTAAAATAACCGAAAAGCATAGCTATTGGTGCTTAGATAGAGTGGATAGAATGATTTGTAGAATTAACAGAAAGTATCCAGTTTTTAAAGCGGCCACTTAGGTCCATGGTTTGACGTTAACGTATTTTAAAAATAAGAGCACTACATGAGGGTAGATGCATTTTTTTTTTATTTTAAACGAATAGCAAGATACGATTATATACACTCAGAAAAATATGATCTAATCGCATACTAGTTAAATTGACTTGATCATTTTGTAAGAGAAATTTTACCTCATGTGGTAAAGAAGTTATAAGAATCAACATATGGTATGATTATATCAACATGATGCGTCGAGTAAGAATATTTTGTTCTAAGGTTTAATTAAAATTTAGTTAGATCAACCAAATTATTTTTTTGAGTGCAGAGTAACCAAAAACTATATATCTAAAGTGAATGTAGTGTCGGAGCTTTCTTTAAAATTTATTGTGTATTTTTTTTCACACGTATAGAATCGACTAATAGTTTGTCAGTTTTAAATCAAATAATGAATGGACAGTTTCATGCTTTATTTATAAAAATTAATTATCTTTTGCCAGACTTTTAGAAAAACACTGTCTCAGAAACCATCACAGAAACATTCTTAGTATATATGTTCTTGTAATACAAAGCAATTTTTTTGAGTTCATCTATTTGATATTATATTATAGACTGCATACAAATAGGGGATATTTCTTGTAATCCATGTATACGGTATACGTTTCTTCCGAGAGATGTAATTTTAGAGAAGAAGAATTTTTGCGCAAAACACCAGTTCGGACCTTTCTCTATAAATCAATTATTAATTATTAATTTTGGCAAGCAACTCAACATTTCTGTCAAAGGTTCAATTGTATACTAAAATTCAGGTTAAGATAATGAATGGAAATAGATAGACACTCATATTATGCGCTAATAAAGCTAATCATTGGTATTAGAAATTATTTTCCAATGAATGCTTATCGAAATAGTAAAAAAAGTGACAAGATAAATGTACATACGGCGCTGTGCGATACTAAGCAATCAAAGTTAGTGCAAACCTTCAACTATTTTAGTACACGGTAGACACTTTAGCGTTCTGTACTTCATACTGAGAAGTCGTGACTATCGCGTGAAATTAAAAATTATTCTGAAAATATCTCAAAGAAAAATTATTGAAATTATTGAATTTAAAACAATAGGGAATTTCCATCCAATGAGTTTTTGAGTTCCGCACAATGTTAAATAAACGCGTTTACCGGATTTTGTGCATTGTGGCAATATTAAATGTGGTTTTAGTAAGCATATTAATCATAAATAATAGTATTATAATAATCGAAGAGAATATAATTCCAGAAAAATTGTTACTCGATTCTAGAAAAGGTAAAGTGTGAAAATCATTGGAAAACTAATACAAATGCATAAATAAAAAATTCAAATATTTTAGCCCCAAATGAAACGCAAATGTATGCCTCAATCGCGAAGGAGTTGCCTTCTTTACACTTACAGTTTTTACAAAAGAAAGCAGGTAGTGGGCGTTTAAATGCCACATGTGCGGAATATCCACATCTATTTGATATACAATTTCACAACACTTATTATCAATCCTACGATAATGGCAATTCGTCTTTCAAAATATTCGGTGCCTATTACGACAAACGTACCACAATAGAGCACACGCCAATGGTGCGTGTCTTGTCGATGATAAATCGTTATGAGAATTATACGCTGAACTACTGTCAATTGTGGTACGAAGAGCGTACTCAACCGGTCATAGTACCAGTCAAGGAATATAAAATGATATGGTATAAGGAATGGGGAGCATCACCACATCACCTCTATCCACATTTAATAAGTTGCTTTATACCCGATGACGTGAAACAATTGGTACCGCAAACGGTTTCTCTCGTTGCTAATGAATGTGATCTTGCCACTAATAATGTGAAGGTTGTTTTTGAAGATCTGCAGGATAACGAAACACAAGGGAATTTTACTATATGTGTGAAAAATTCATACTTCCCACATGAGGATATGTCTGCACGTTTAGTAGAGTGGTTGGAACTGATGCGTATTATGGGTGCAGAAAAAATCTTTCTATATAATATGCAATTACATCCGAATATGAGTAAGGTGCTCAACTACTATGAGGAGACAGGACTAGTAAGGCTTAGTCCTTTCACTTTTGCACGTGGTGAACCAAATTTAAGAAATATGCAACATGAAGTGAACAAAGCAAACTATTTGAATACAATTTTAAATGAATTATTGCCATTCAACGATTGTCTTTATCGCACTATTTACAAGTACAAATTTGTAGCAGTGATTGATGTGGATGAAGTGATAATGCCGCTTGGCAATCTGACGAATTGGCATCAACTTGTCAAAGTTATTGAAGCTGAAAAGGATAAAAATTGTGAACATTTTGCAAGTTATTGCTTTCAAAACGTATATTACCCGCGTTATCCTGACAGTCCTCCCTACTCCTTGGAAGTGCCCGAATATTTCTATATGCTGCAACATGTCAAACGTGTGGCGGATCATTTAAGTATTGGCTTAGCCACAAAATGCCTCCACAATACTAAGCATGTGGTTGCACTTCATAATCACTACGCAATTCACTATGAGCAGTGCTGCTTTGCAAATAATATTAACTACACCATCGGACAAATGCAACATTATCGAGAGCCTGATATCATGGAAACGCTTAACGACCCGGTGGAAGATGCGAATATTTGGAGATTTAAAACTGAACTTATTAGTAATTCGGCACATGTTTTGAAACAATTAGGATTTTTTCCTTGACCTCAAAATTGTGTTGTAAGTTGTAGTTTAAGGTAAGGAATAAGTAGGAAGTGTACTGAATAAATTAGATAGAAATTAATTAACTTCATTATTAATTATATTTCGTCGTCTGTAATTAGAATAGTTTTAGTAGAGTAAGCAAATTAAATATTATGCCTTTATGTTAATTTTTTCTTGCCTAGAGTGGCACGTCTTTATGACGAAAAGAAACTATTTAAAATATGCGGTATGATTGAAAATAATATTATTTTCAAAATTTTAATAAAAATATATAAATAATAAAACGAAAAATATATTATAAATATGGCTTAGTAAAAGAAAATAAGTGTTTTAATAGCAATGTGTTCTAGAGACACCTTTCGAAAAGTTCGATATTTATAGATATTTTTCATCAAACTTGTGGTGGCGTGTACTAGGGTTGTATTTTTAATACTGATCTAAATTTGTTCTTATTTATATAAGAGGGAAGTAAAAATTACAATTAATTTTCGATTAAAACTTGTTAAAAATTTAAAAAGCTATTGATACAGGTTCTTAGAGCTATAGAGATATCCATTTTATATAAAAAGAATAATTATCAAAATTAATTATGGTTTATCAATTACCAAAAACAATTTAAAAATATATATCGCTCGGCATAAACTCATTATGAATAAGAAAATAGTTTTGAATCCAAAACATCATTAGCTTTTCATTGTAAAAGGTTGACCATTTAGAGGGCGAATGGTTGAGACTTTTATATCAACAGTCAGATTGCTTTTTAGGGTACCGGTTAAGGCTTTTGGATGATTTTTATGTTCCTAAACATTTTTCATTCGTCAGTGGTCAAATAGTTGACTCTTTTATATAAATAATTACATTATTCTTTAGGATGTTGGTACAAGTGTTTTAGATGAGTTTTATGTTCCTAAACATTTTCAATTAGTCAGTGAATTAGTTTCTTGAAAACGACAAAGTCGCCCGTTAACAATCAGGACAAGAAGTGATTAAGAATTAAAATATGATATTTAGTCTAAAAATGGGTAACACAGTCTATATCTTTCTATTCGATTTTCAGAGATCTTCGATGCACTGAACAGAAAACAGAATTGTGCATTAATAATATTACTATATAAATAACATAATTAAAAAGCTTTAAAATGGGAATAAACTGTTTATGTCTTAGAAATCGTGTAAGCACATGAACTTTGATTTAACTTTAAGCTTTTCTAACCAAGACTTCTTGGATTTTTGCTCGTCTTACCATTTCCACTTGAAGGTAGAAATGGTGTTCTGTTTCTTGAATATATTAAAAACATCTTGTTTAATCGCCTTCGTAATATTGTAAAGAAATAATTTGTCAGTCTTGGTCTTCTTGATAATATTCTTTGAATTTAGATTTCTAAGAAATTCTGTAGTTTATTGCATATCAACTTATTTTTAATCACTAATTGGTATCCGAAATGTTTAAATTTTGGCAATAATTTGATGTTTTTTAAAAAAACAGTTATAATTCCATGAATTTCAATTATGATATTGGTTGATATTTAATAATTTCATGTACAGTTTCGATGGAATCTGCGGTGATCTTAAATAACGATAAACCAAAGCATTGCCTCTCCTTTATATCTTTTTCTTCTTTGCTTTATGTACCGTCAGACCGACATTCGTTGGAATGGTGTGCCCGACTCTCTAACATCAATATGTGGTATAGAGATTAAAACACACCCTCTTTGGAGAGACTTGTTTATATCCTTTCGATAAACTTAGTCATTCAATTGAAAGATTTTGATTAAAGTTTGAATAGGTTTGAAAACCAATTGAATTCGTTTGAGAGTACAGAATTACGGTATGTGGTGGATCTACCACATTGACAATGTAATGGTCAATATATGACCTCACAACGTATATATATTTTGACTACGTTCTGTTTACTTTGGAATACATTTTGTTTAACCAGTTAGGCTTTAAGTAACAATAACATGGGTGATTACAAAATTATATAGTAGTATTATAAATTATATAGTAGTATATGAAAACTAATTAACACACTTTTATAATAATAAACCGGGTTAGTATCTGTATTTTTGTTCCATATTAAAAAAACCTGAAAACACTTTGTTGCATGCCGCAAATAGCAAAAGTAAAGTAAATGTTGTTACTTTAGATTGCAATTGATATTTGCTTGCTCTATATATTTCTTTGATATTTTCGTATATATTGAAGAACTTGAAAATATATTATTGTAATAATTATATTAAAAAATATATGAAGTAATATAATAAAAAAGTAAATCATTAACTTAAGTAATAAAAGCAAAGTTAATTTATTGCACATAAAAAACTGCAAACTATAAAGTTTTTATGAGGTGAGATAAAAAGTTGAAATTGTCAAATATAAATAACATATATAATAAGAAAAAAATATATATTGTCAAAAAAAAAATTAAATAGAATTACATTTTTTATTGTATGTACTTACATAAACATTAATTATTATTAAAATTTATTTAGTCCAATCCGATGATAAGCATAAATATTACAATGTAGAAGAACTGAAAAAAAAAATTCAATGAATTAATCAAAATTTTAAGTGAAATAAAATAATGATTAATAAAATTTACATTTAACACAATAGAATATTAATAATATTTTATCTCACAAACTCTAAATATTACATCCTACGATTGACTTAATTTTTTTTTTAATGGTTATTGTAAGCAAAATATTTTTAGTTACTAATATGCATGAAAGAAATATTATCATTATATTTGGAATAATTTTTAACGCTTAAGATGGTATTATAAATAACATCTAAATAAAGAAATAATTAATAAGAATATATAACAAACAAAATAAAATAAAAAATGATTATTTGTTTACATTGTGAAATAATCAAATTATTTGTAACAACAATCTTAAGAATGATCTCGGGCCAATCCCGTACAAGGTCCCTCTAAGCGTACTCTGTAAAAAAGCAGCCACATACTAACTTACAGGTTGGGAGCAGTTAGTGTGGTTTATGTACTGATTGCTCCACCATTAATCAGCTAATTAAATTGCAACATAACCTAGAAAAACACCATAAAAATAAAATCAACACCCATCATATTTGTGTTAATTAAATTATAGCCTTTGATAGCTCCATAAAGGATCGCTGAACCCTGAAATGTTCAAGCTCGGTATCTCTGCAAAACTAATGTGCATCAGCAGAATGAAGTTGGCAATACCCATAAAATCGTTGGATATGTATGTTACATAGGATTAATTCTTTTAAATAAACTCTTCAAATTTGTCATGAACAGGTCTTTAACATAATGGTCGACAACAGAGGCACAGTTGATATCACAGAATGATAAAGCATTACTGAAAGTGTACGAGGGAAAAGTTCTTCGTACTCTACAAGTTGATGAAGACTATCGTATTCGTAAGTAAGGAAGGAAATAATTTGCACTTAAATAAAATAATATATTATCTTAAATGAAAGGCATAAAAGAAAATTTTAAATGTTGTAATATCTTTATTACAAAACAATTTAATGAATTTAAAAAATGATTATTTGTATGTAATGATGATCAATGTTTTCATTGTCAAGAATTTAAATGTGTTTAATTAAACCAACAAAAAAATATTTTTTCTTTGAAAGAAAGTCTAACGGGTACATGTAATAGAATTAGATATATAGTGTACAGGATCTAATCGGAGCGAAACATTGTGACCATTGTTGATCGTTTGTGTTCCTAATCACCTCTAAGAAAATAGGCGACAATCACCCTATCGAATGAAAGCATAGTGTCAGCTGTTGATGACATCCTAACAGATAGTAAATCTATATATTTGAAATATATTTATATATTTGATTTTTATTTAACCATATATGACTTAGCGCTGCTAACAGTGTTGGAAAGGGCTTGCAAATTGTTAATACAGATGATACTATTTAAGATAGGTCTGTTTAATATAATTTATATCAATATTGCAGTTTATATTTCCGCTCCATTTTATGTTTTTCAAAATTCCTAAGAGAATAAAACTAGAAGTAAGGGCTACTCTCTATTGCTACTCTATCTTTATCTAGGCCTACTCTATTGAAAATTGTTACTTTGACGTATTAGTGGCATAAAGAACTAATACCGGTAACTACTTCTGCAACATATATGATGTTAATTGTAGTTGATAATAATAAATATGATTTATAATAATAATTATTAATCTTATACAATTCGATCTTGAATCTTGGAAGAAGAAAGTCTTTGTAGGAAGTATATATTTTCTTTTAACGATTAAACAGTTTTGCAGTTGTGTCCAGGCTTTGTTTCTAGTTTAGCTTCTAAGTGCGAGTGGAATCTATTGTAGTTAAAATTAAATTATTGTTTTTTTAGCTTAGACTATAAGGCAAGTGAACATAACAAGTTAAAGACATACAAATGAGCATCTAAGAGACTGACGTCTGTAAGCCAGTACTTTTAAGATAGTTTTTGTGGCTTGTCCCTCTATGAGTAAACTATTGATAATAAATTATTCATAACTATTTATTGCTGTTAGTTAAGAAATCCAAAGATAGTTATTATCCAAATATATTGATGAGCCATCTGATCTGACCTTAAAATGGCACCCAATAAGGACTCACTATTTCTAAAGAAAAGACTTAAATGGAATCGCTCATCGTGTGCTTAAATGTGATCTAACTATTTGTCCGTGTTGTAGAATAGTGTGAAAAACTGAAAAAATCTATGAGTTTATAACCTATTTTAAATAAAACCTTAGGTAATGCGTTGTGTCAATAATTATTAATTTTTCTTAATTAGAACATTATATATCTATGAGTATATGTTGATGTTCCTGCTTCGTCTGACATTAGATTCAAGTCCAAATTTCTTTTGTTCGATTATACACAGTTGTATCACAAATCACCTGATATGGTCTAATATTATACTTTACTGGTACCACAGTCATTATTATTTATATATTATCATTGATTCATATATAATATAAATATTGTTTTTTCATGTGCGGAGAGAAAATTTAAAAATTCCTAACATATCGTCACTATGTCGTCATTAT